CACCCAGTACTAGAGTTCAAGCCCCACAGCCAAAAAAAAAAAAGATTGCCCGGTGTCCGTGGCTCATGCCTATAATCCTAGCTACTCAGGAGGCTGAGATCTGAGGATCACAGTTCAAAGCAGTAAAGTCTGAGACCCTTCTCTCCAATTAGCCACCAAAAAGACAAAAGTGGAGCTGTGATTAAAGTCGTAGATCACTAGCCTTAAACAAAAAACTCAGGCCCTGAGTGTAAGCCCAGGACCGAGGGGAGGGAAAGGGAAGAGAAGCAAAGGGGACAAGAAAAACACACTTATTTTAGTGTTAGGCTTGGGCACAAAGGCTTATGAACAGCTCCCAGGCTCTGAGTTCAAGTTCCAGGACACAAACACAAACACACAAACACACACACACACACACACACACAAGAATATGTGACTTAAAAGGCTGATGAAAGCTAAATTCTAAGAGGATCACAACAGTTTTTCTTGAGTGATCTGGAAGTACTATGGAAAGTCATACAACCTGAAGATTATAGAGGGTGTGGAATTATCAGGAAGGAACTCTATAATCTCTCTTCTACTAGGACTCACATTCCTAAACTGGAAAACCTTTCCCAGGAAAACCTTCGTCAGCCACTTGGGTATCACTTGCTTAGTAAATGTTTTGTTTGTTTTTCTTTTCCTTGCAAGAGGGAAAAAGGGTTGGAGGGACCAAAAATGGGAATTCCTGAACATCATGGATACAGCCTTGGACTTGGAAGAAGCTATTCTATTTATCCTGTAGCCTACCTGAATTAAGGAAGAACCTATTTTCCCTGTCAGAACTTAAGACAACATTTGAAATTTCCAGACGTCATAAACTCAAGGCACAGAAAACCAAATTTAAGCCCCAATTCAGTTATTCCCAAATCTTAAGAGCTGTTTTACTTATCAAGAAATTATCCAGACATGTTTTTTGGAGGAGAGTGAGGAGAGGGGCACACAAATGGACCAAGGGAAGATGAGCAAATGTAGTCATTATATTCAATGTACATTATATAAATAAAGAACTATGTAACTTCAGGATAGTTATGGGAGGGGGGAAATAGGAGAAAACGATGGAAGGGGATGACACTACTCAAGAAGCATTGTACTCACAGCCTGACATGAAATTATGACCTCTCTGTACAACTACTTAATTGTATCCAACCTCTTACCCTCCTCTGCATATGGCTTATTTCTGGAAAGCAAGGAAATCTGACAGTAAGGATTAAAGGTATGTTTTTCCTTTATGGGTCAATTCTCATAGAAGCAAATATGTAATCATTAATACAATAGAAAATTTGCTATGTTCAAAAAAATCACTTATGTACAATAAAATATTAAAATCACATGGTACAAAAAATACTAGTTAGTATGCAAAGTTCCGGTGACTCACACTGGTAGCTGCTAGCTACTCAGGAGGCAGAGAGCTAGAAGATCTTGGTTCAAAACCAGCCCAGGGGGCTGGGAAGGTGGCTCAGTGGTAGAGCACTTGCCTTGCATGCATGAGGCCCTGGGTTCGATTCCTCAGCACCACATAAGCAAAAAAAAAAAAAAAAAAAACCAGCCCAGGCAGAAAAGTTCTTGAGTCTGCCTCCAAAGTAGCTGACAAAAAGCAGAGCCGGAGGCCTACCTCAAGAGGTAGAACACCAACAGAGCAACTAAGCCCCTGTGAGTACAAGGCTCTGAATTCAAACCCTAAAACTGCCAGTAAATAAATACTGATTATAAGGAAAATTTGTATTCTAAGTTACCAATGCTTCGTTCAAAATCAAAACTTACTAAAAAGATACTACTTTTAAGCCAGCACTGGTGTAATCCTAACTACTCAGGAGACTGAGATCTGAGAATCACAGTTTCAAGCCAGCTGGGGCAGAAAAGTATGTGAGACTTATCGCCAATTAGTTATCAAAAGAGCTGGAAATGTAGCTGTGGCTCAAGAGATAAGAGCACTAGTTTTGAGCAAACAAGCTCAGGAAAAGGAATAGTAGCCCTAAGCAAGGCCAGCTCACAAAAATAAGATATTACCTTTGTAAAGCAGTACCACTAAACTTTCCAACTTTTAACAACAGAATCACATTAAAGTCTCAAGAATTGATGGTTAAAAAGACCCTGGGCTCAAAAACAGTACAATCACTTCTGCAACTGTTACACATGGGCTAGGAATGTGGTTTAGTGGTAGAATGCTCTTCTAGCATGCATGAAGCTCTGGGTTCGATTCCTCAGTACCACCTAAACAGAAAAAGCCAGAAGTAGTAGAGTGTTAACCTTGAGCAAAAACTCAGGGACAGTGCTCAGGCCCCGAGTTCAAGCCCCAGGGACTGGCAAAAACAAGTTACACGTATTTGTGGTAAAACACAGTTGATGCTTGTTTTGTTTCTGTAACTCCTTCACATATACCCTTCTTTTTTTTTTTTTGGGTCCGGTCGTGGGGCCTGAACTCTGGGCCTGGGCGCTGTCCCTCAGCTCTTCAGCTCAAGGCTAGCGCTCTACCACTTGAGCCACAGCGCCACTTCCGGCTTTTTTCTTTTTTCTTATGTGGTGCTGAGGAATCGAACCCAGGGCCTCTGGCATGCAAGGCAAGCGCTCTACCACTGAGCCAACTTCCCAGCCACATATACCCTTCTTTATTTCCTCTTCAACTTCTCCAATCTAGAAATCTGTACTTAAATGTATCACAAAATTCTCCAGAAAATATTTGAAGTTTTTCATGGCTTTAATATTAAGCTACCTAAAGCAAGAAAAAAAAAAAAATCTAGTTTAAAATTTGCTAACCTGGGCTGGGAAGGTGGCTCAGTGGTAGAGCGCTTGCCCAGGCCCAGAGTTCAGGCCCCACGACTGGACCCAAAAAATAAATAAATAAATAAAATTTGCTAACCTATCAAATTCTCCACATTGCACAATAGAGCAGACTGCATAAAAATTAGTTCTCTGAAAATAAACATTTATAAACTTAATTCTCGATGATCTATTTTGGTTTCTTAGAATGTTATAGGAACAGAGAAGGAATAACACTAAATAGGAAAGATATGGTTATCTTCAAATTCCACCTTTATATAGTCAAAACATAGGAAAACATCAGTTCAGACTAGTAAAAGAACTCTGGGGCTGGGAAGATGGCTCAGTGGTAGAGTGCTTGCCTTGCATGCCTGAGGCCCTGGGTTCGATTCCTCAGCACCACATAAGCAAAAAGAAAAAAGCCGGAGGTGGCGCTGTGGCTCAAGTGGTAGAGCACTAGCCTTGAGCTGAAGAGCTGAGGGACAGTGCCCAGGCCCAGAGTTCAGGCCCCACGACCGGACCCAAAAAAAAAAAAAGAACTCTGGATAATTTAAACAAGTAGCAAGGTTAAAATAATATTCCTCAATCTGTCAACCTGTTCAAGATTCCCTTTATATAAAAAGAGGACACTGGCCTCCTTTTAAAATGCTCAGTTTGTTGCTGTTGGGGGGTAGGGAGGTGTGTGTGTGTGTCTCGTTTCCGGCTGTCAGAATGGGCTAAGCTAAACACTGATTAAGGAAAACTAACTGTACTTGAAAATTAAGTAAAACTATACCTAGCCCTCAACACTGAAAGGAACCTTTAATTTAAATGGCTTTCGCTCGTCGGACCAGTAGAGGGAGACGAAGACATCTGGCCTGGTCGTGCAGTGTTTCTGTAAAATTGGGGAGGGGGAGCGGAGGCTGTATTTAAATGTCCTGCTGTCAATCAAAGGACACTTCCTACAATCACAGTCACCACACCAGCTATTACTCCCGAGCGTGCTCTCGCCCAGAGACAACACTCAACGGTGCCCAGGAAACCTGCTTCCCCGAAAGGTGACCGCAGGCTTTGCCACAACATCCAAATAAGGACTTTGGGAGCCCAACCCCAACTAGTTTCTTTGTTTAAATGCCGGCGAATCCCTCCCACGCCGGAGTCAAGAGGCTGTGGCGCCGCCCTTTATTAGCCTCACACTTTGATTACAAAACACACGAGTCGGCGGCCTGGCTGCGGAGGCGGCCCGAGCTCACAAACGTCAAACCCCAGGCGCGGTGGCGGCGGCGGCAGCGACCGAATCCCAGGACCCCGTCCGTCCGTCTGTCCGTCCCCCCCCCCCCCAACCCCGTCTCCGCACCGCCCCGAAGTTGGTTGACCGGGTGTCGCCGGCCCCCGGGCACTCGCCCGGTACTCTTTGTAAAGTTTGAGCATCGGCGCGAGGGCCCCTGGGGGGGAGGGGGGATCCGGGAGCCGTCCCCGCGGCCCCGGCCGCCGCTCTGCCCGCGCCCCCCTCCCCGGCGACGGGGGGGGGTGTGTGCGGGGTGGGCCCGCGGCCAGCCAACCTGCGCCGCCGCCGCGGCCCGGCCCCGCCGCCCCGCACCTCGCGAGCCCCGCGAGCGCCTCATCTGTTGCTCTGTTTACTCGCCCGGCCCCGCCGCGCCGCCCGCCGCCCGCCGCCGTCCCGCCGACCCCCCGTCCCACCAACCCGCGGGCCGAGGAAGTTTGATCAAGACGGGAAGGGGGCGCGACGGGACCCGCGGCGGCGGGGCGACCCGCGGCCGGCCCGGAAGCCAAGCGGGCACGGCGGCCGGCCAGGCGGGCGCAAGGGTGGACGGCGACGCGGGCCGGAGCCCCGGACGCGACGGGGCGGCGGAGACGACCCGGGCGGCGACGCGCGAGGGGCTGCGGGCCCTGCCTGCGCCCCGCCGCCGCCCCCGCCGCGCCTCCCGCCGCGTCCGCTCGCCCAGGCTCCCCCTGCCAACTTCTCCGCCCGCCCCTTTGTTCCTGTTTGTTGTGGCGACTCTTCGCCCGGGCCAGGCGAGCCCACCGGCTCCCCTCGGCAGCCGCCCCGGCAGCCGGGGGGCCCCGCGCGCCCCTCTACCCGGCCCGGAGACGAGGCACCGGGGCCCCGGGCGCAGCGCGCGGCGCGACTCGGAGGCCGAGCGGGAGGAAGGGTCGGGCGGCCGGTGGCGGCGGCGAGTCGGTGGCCGGCGGCCGGCGGCGGGGCTGAGGGGTTTATTTACCTGCCGTGGAACCAGTCCTTGCAGATATCGCATTCGATCATGAAGCGGTTCACGTCGTACGGCTGCCGGCACACACAGTACACCGGAGGGGGTGGCGGAGGTGCCGAGGCCCGGCCGGGAGCCGCCACCGACACGGCTGCCGCGGCGGCTCCAGCTGCTGCTCCCGCGGCCACCGCCGCCGCCGCTCCGGCCATCTTTAAAAAACACACACACACGCTCCCTCGCTCGCTGCTCCGCTTGCCTACAGGAGCGAGCGCAGCCGCCAGCCAGCGCCGCCTCCTGCAGCAGCCGGAGCAGCAGCCGCGGCGCGGCGGCGGCGGCGGCGGCGGCGGCGGCACCTCAGTGCGCGCGCGCTAGGCCGCGGCAGCGGAGGCGGAGGAGGCGCGCGCGACGACGCGCGAGCTGGTCCGGCTGCTTCCGGCGCTCGGCGCGGGGCCGTGCGTCGCGCGCACGTCGTCGTCGTCCTAGCGCGGCGCGCGCTCTCAGGTCCCTCCGCGAGGACGCGCGCGGCGGCGCAGGCAGCGCGGCTCGGGACGGAGGAGGGCGGCGAGAGCGTGCGAGCAGCCGGGTTTGCTCGGGAGTGAAAGCCCAGGTTGGAGGAAGTTCCTGCGGAGTGAAAAGGGGCAGACGCTGGGTTCTGAAGCGGGCAGGGAAGGAAGTTTCCGCCTGCCAGATAGGCTTCACAACCGGGGCGGGGGGGCGGAGGGGGGGGGGGAGGAGGGGAGAGGAGGGATGATGATCAATTAGCAGCCGCCCACAGATGACGGGAGATGCCGCCCCCGTGCTGCGTGGGTCCCAGCCCGAGTGACACACCACGCAACTGTGCCTTCGTAGGAATGCCTGCTGAATGCACTCCGAGTTCCCAGGGAGCCGCCAGGAAGGCGGGGTGTGGTGGAGGCGCTGTTAGGTGGAAGAGGGTTGTCCCCAAGAGGAATTCATTAATATCCGTCGCCCAAGGGGACCAACCTGGAAGTGGGGTTGGTGAAGAGAGTGAAAACACAGCGTGTCTGTAAAGAACATGACAGAGAACCTTAGGTGGGAACAGGAGGAAATTCGAAATGATTTTCTCCTGGGAAAATATTCAAGTGCATCGTATAGTACTTGATGCCTCACAGACCAGCCATAAATGTTTTTGAAGGAACTTGAGAGCCAGCGGTAAGCTGATAAACTGAAGAATAAAAGTAGCTCCCAAATACTAGAGAACTGAGACTTGGGACGAATGTTAAGGCTCTGTAGCTCGATTTCTTGCAGACATTTACATCAGTAGGAAAGCCCTGTAGCTAGCTCTGTGGATGATTTTTGGTTGGAAGTTCGTCCATCTCATGGCTCCTGGACAGAGAATTGCTGGTCTATTCTAACCTTTTTATAGCTGAGGCAAATAGGTAACTTGCCTGAAGGTTTCACAGATAAAACTGGAACTAAATCTCTATCCTGCATCCAGTCCACTTTCTGCTACATAATCATAAAAGAAAAACCTGGAAATCAAGAGTTGAAACTAACTTTAATTAACTTGAAACATGTTTCTTGTGGCGGAAAAAAAAATCATTGTAACTTCGGCATGTGTTACGAGGTATAATGGATAAGTTGGGAATGTGGCTTAGTGGTAGAGTGCTTGCCTAGCATGCATGAAGCCCTGGGTTCGATTTCTCAGTACCACATACACAGAAAAACCCAGAAGTGGTGCTGTTCCGGTGGTAGAGTGCTAGCCTTGAGTAAAAGAAGCTCAGGGGGGCTGGGAAGGTGGCTCAACGGTAGAGTGCTTTGCATGCATGAGGCCCTAGGTTCCATTCTCAGCACCACATAAGCAGAAAAAGCCAGATGTGGCGCTATGGCTCAAGTGGTAGAACATTAGCCTTGAGCTGAAGAGCTGAGAGACAGTGCCCAGGCCCCATGTCCGACCAAAAAATAAATTAAGTTAAAAAACAATCAGGGATTGTAATAGCTTCCTTAGTTTCTTCACTGTGGGTTTTTTGTTTGTTTTTGTATGTGTGTGCTAGTACTGGGGCTTGAACTCAGGGCCTGGGTCACTATCCCTTAGCTTTTTCCACTTAGAGCTGGTACCCTGTCAGTTGAGCCACATCTCTACTTACAGTATTTTTGCTGGTTAGTTAAAGATCAGATCTCAGCCTCCTGAGTAGCTAGGATCTCGGGCACTGGAGCTTGGTGTTCACTGAGGTTTAATTGGAAGCAAAAGAATGGATTTTAGCATCATGTTCAGGGGAGGAGGGGAGTACTGTCACGACAGCACTGCGTAATCTGAAGGGAGGCCCAAAAACTGTCATGTCAGTGAGTGGGGAGGACACGCATGCAGGAAGCAGCAGATATATGGTGTTCTCAGAGCCACCTGACTTTGGGATGGCAACATGGGGACAAGGGTGAACAGGGCAGCAGCAAGAGGGTAGAACTCGGAGTAATGCCACAATTTTAGTGACAAACTGCATACATCGAAATTATGTACATGGGTTTAGGTTTCACAAACTACTATCTCTGGGACAACTTCTGCTTGAATTTGAGTTTCTTTCATTTTAATAGCGATGATAAGAATATCTGCATTGTAGCACTGGGTACATTAAATGAGATAATGAATTAGTGAGCACAGGTCTTGGCACATATACCACAAAGATGCTAATTATAATTACAATAATTATTTTGTCACATGTCTATTAATAGTAATAGGACTAAGGAGCAGCCAGAAAGTTAGGATAAAGACTAGGAGAGTATTATCCCAGATCAGAGGAAGACAGAATTTAAGAAAGAAAATACATAGCAGACAGACACCCTATATGGAACTCCTCTACCTTTCTTATGCACACTCTGATCCCTGAAGTACATCTCTTAACTTTCAGGAAAATAAGATCTAACCTGTTTTGTTTTTCCTTTTGTTTTTGTGTTTGGCAATATTGGGCCTCACACTTGTTAGGCAGGTGCTCTATCACTGAGAACACCTACAACCCTGTTTGTGTGTGTGTGTGTGTGTGTCTGTCTGTCTGTCTGTCTGTCTGTGTGTAAAATTTTCTTTTGGGGGCTGGAAAGGTGGCTCAGCAGTAGAGTACTTGCCTCGCATACATGAGGCCCTGGGTTCGATTCCTCAGCAACACATAGAAAAGGTGGGAAGTGGTGCTGTGGTAGAGCGCTCGCCTTAAGCTGAAGAGCTCAAGGACAGCACCCAGGCCTAGAATTCAAGCCCCACAACCAACCAAAAAAATTTTTTTTCTTTTTCTTTTTTTTTTTTTTGGCCGGGCATGGGGCCTGAACTCTGGGCCAGGGCGCTGTCCCTGCGCTCTTCAGCTCAAGGCAAGTGCTGTACACTTGAGCCACAGCACCACTTCCAGTTTTCTAGTGGTTTATTAGAGATAAGAGTTTCACGGACTTTCCTACCTGGGCTGGCTTTGAACTTCAATCCTCAGATCTCAACCTCCTGAGTAAATAGGATTATAGGCATGAGCCACCTGCGCCCTGCGGTTTTTTCTTTTTGGTGCCGGTGGCTGGAGCTTGAACCCAGGGCCTTAGTGCTGTCACTGAGCTGCTCAAGGCTTCAAGGCTAATGCTCTACTACTTGAACCCACAGCTCCACTTCCAACTTCTTTGCTGTTTGTCTATTTTTTTTGGGGGGGGGGGGGCGGTCCGGTCGTGAACTCTGGGCCTGAGCGCTGTCCCTCAGCTCTTCAGCTCAAGGCTAGCACTCTACCACTTGAGCCACAGCACCATTTCTGGCTTTTTTCTTTTTGATTATGTGGTACTGAGGAATGGAACCCAGGGCCTCAGGCATGCAAGGCAAGCACTCTACCACTGAGCCACCTTTCCAGCCCTGTTTGTCTATTTTTAACACTTTATTTTTCCACAAATCCTCATTTCTCTATCAGAGGAATGTTTGCTCCAACCTAACAATTCTGTGTCCTACTTCTACCAATACTTTCCCATCTGCATAACTGTGTCTACTAGTCTCCTGCTTGGAAAGCAAGGATACTTTATGAATGCTACTTTAAACCACTGATATGCAGTCAATGATAGTGATTTGCTTTATATAGCATCGTATGTTACTTGACTCTATAGGACCCAGGGAACAGCCTTCCTACTGTTGTAGTAAGAAGGCTGGGAATTTTAAACTGTACTGAGTTAAAGAAAAGAGGATAATGTGTGGATAGGAAAATATTTGTCCAGCAAGAATAGATCTGAGGAAGGAGTATGTCACTGGTGCTCAGAAAAAGGACAACAGAATCCTAGAGAGAAAGCTGGATCAGTATGCAAAACTCAGCAGCTTTGCAGACAATCGGCCTGGTTTACTTTGCTTCTGCCCCAGAAGTTAGAAAAAATTCTCCACTGACAACCTAGGTTAAGATGTTAGCAAAGAAATTGTTGTCACATTGGGTGTATTCAAAGTGCACATATAAGAGTAAAAACAGTAATGAGAAAACAGTGTAAGTGAAGACAAAGCAGATAAATAACATTAGTCAAGAAAATGACTGATTCATGTAGCCTGGAATTCTATGCCTCTTCTAGGGACACAATATTAGATACCAGAATATTTATGAAGTATTCTTGCCAAAATGTTTAAGCTGAATACAAGTGATCATTTAGACTTACCTTCCAGTTTACAGCATTGTTTTATGGCGGGGGGGGGGAGTGTGTGAATGCACACTGGGTTAAGGATGGAACCCAGAGTCTTGTCTTTTTTTTTTTTTTTTTTTTATTGTCAGTTGTGGGGCCTGAACTCTGGGCCTGGGCGCTGTCCTTCAGCTCTTCAGCTGAAGGCTAGTACTCTACCACTTGAGCATCAGCCCCACCTCTGGCTTTTTCTGCTTATGTGGTGCTGAGGAATTGAACCCAGGACCTCATGCATGCAAGGCAAGCACTCAACCACTGAACCACCTTCCCAGCCCCATAACCCAGAGTCTTATGCTATGCAAATTAAAAGTTATCATAGGGGCTGGGAAGGTGGCTCAGTGGTAGAGTGCTTGCCTCTCATGCATGAAACCCTGGGTTTGATTCCTCAGTTCCACATAAACAGAAAAGGCGGGAAGTGGCGATTTGGCTCAAGTGGTAGAACGCTAGCCTTGAACACAGAGAGGCCCAGGGACAGTGCCCAGGTTGTGAGCTTAAGCCCGAGGATTGGGGGGAAAATAAAAGTTATCATAGGTAGGCACAGTAGCCCAAGCCTATAATCCTAACTACTCAGAAGGCAGAGATCACAGTTTTAGGCCAGCTGGGTATAAAAGTTTAGGAGATTCCATCTCAACCCATAGCTGGACACAGTAGTTCACACCTGTTATCCCAGCCACAGAGGAAGCACAGAGGTGCAGTGGCCCTTACCAGCCATCCTCAGCAACATGGGGAA